TCAGGCCAGGCCGGGAACATAACTGTCATCCACTTTGCAAATGTGTCGACACAGTGTCGATGTATCATGAATAGTGAACAGTCATTGACAAGAAAAGAGAGAAACAGCCAGTGAGTCCAGGACTTTCACTGCCCTTTACTCCTTTCAGACCAGGATAATGCACCGTGGAAACTGAGGTGGCAGTTCTGTAGGCGAGGTTCAGCAAGTTCATTCCCGACTAGTCCTGCATCGGCCTGGACAATTAGACAATGTCTACTTTCTATGGGGTTAAGCAACGACTCACAACTAAAGACGATGCTAAAGTGAAATTCAAATAAAACAATCGAATCTCTGACACTTCTCAACCAAATAGTTTTTCAGGGGTCGTATCCTGATTCGCTTGGATCGGTACGCCAACTAGACAGTGTAATGCGTCTGGGTGGATGAATATTGAGCAGGGAAGCTAGAAAGTCGACCTTTAAACGGAATACGTTGGTGAAGGAAGCATGAAATATGGTTGAAACAGGAGTTTCTTTTAGTGTTCAACTGCAAAAGCACTAAAAGAATGAATGGCCTGAATCTACGCCATTTTTCGATAAGTGATGCATCTTACGCTAAAAAGAAAGAGGTCGATCAGTTTAAGGTGAAGTTGGGTAAAGAGGCAAGGTGCCATCCAACTCGTAATCATGCCCGTCCTTGAGAAATTTTCACTTAAATTCACACATTCACAGCGTACTGTGGTGAGAACAGAATTAGTTAAAGTAGCAGAACTTTGAACGGCATCCAAAAATACTGCTTTTATCGGTTCAACGCTAGGCGAAAGATACTGAACCCAACAATGACCATCAAAAACTGAACTGAGTTATGCCTTGGTGGAATGCTAGCACCTAGAGGATTGAGTACCAAAATGATCAGTCACTTACCTCCTTGTGGGGTATGATGTGAGGTACGTTTTTCAGTAGGAACAGTGCATGAGGTTTTGGCTTGCGCAAATCTGCTAACAGTGTCGAAATTCTAAGATTCCTGCCAAGATAAGAGAAAGTATCTATTCGGTATCCATTCAAAGCAAGCATTAGGAAAGTAGTCAACAGAATGGAATGACATCGGTGGGCATGAGTTCGGGAAAACGATGGGGGTGTACTTACGACAGAAGCCAGAAATTCGCAGGGGTGAACTGATAGCGGCTATCACGTTCGTGGATGATAGAAAGTAATCGCAGACACATGGAGAAAAGATCGGGGAAGGTGGTCACGGACAGTGGAGATGGAGAACACTCTGCCTTGGTGGTGGAAGCGTCTTTTGCGTTTGTCCCGCTACCACTACATAACTTCCACGCTATGAAGAGAAGAACAAAGTGAGTTTATGGACGTAAGTATCTAAAAACTGAAGTTTCAATGTTTAAATATAAATAAGGACACATTCCTTAACATCTTAGTTGATCCTAGCAGCTGCATGTGCACATTGAACGGAGCTTAAGAGCAAGAATTAGGTTTGCTCTGAATTGTTCGTTGAAGCGCGGACGCACACATATACACTTTTTATAGTGTACGACGGTCGGGGGGTCGACATGCCCTCTTACACGTGAAAGATTTGGACGATTTTAATGTTCTCAAGATAGTGCTCAGGAGGAACAAGCCAATATCGCTTGGGACACATACAGTTTGCAGTACAAAGTATGTGGCTTGTCTCCGTATAGCACCTGGATTTGTCAAGGAACGACAGTAGTCCCCTACGTAACTCGTCGACTGAAGCCGTGAGTTATCCATAAAACACACTCCGAGATACTGAAAAATCCAAGTCTCTATCTTTTTCTATAAAATCAAACAGGGAGGATTGAGAGAGGGTTACATCATATCACTAGGGTCGCTGTGGGTTAATATCACCGCCAAAGCCAAACGCGTTGATCCGTCTCTCATTTCCCCGTAGAAAACGAATCTGATGGTAACTTGTGGAAATCGTCTCGGCCTAAGATCACCTGAGGTGATGTTTATGCAGTATGCGGTGGTGGTCCCGTTACTGACCGCTTACTTCTATTCGCCCACTATACATTACGACTGAAGAATCAAGGGAATCGACGCGATTTGGCAGCACAAATGGGTGGAGAAGTTATTGTGATTGTATTACAACGGCCTTGTGCTAGTCAGAGAAACAGTGTACAGTATACAAACGAACATGTACATATTGAAATCGGAGCACTTACGATCGGGGACTGCCATGACAGTTTCATAAACAAGATGGTTGAAAAAGGTTCCCATGGAGCAAAGCTCATCGACAGAGAAAGACTTGTTCAACTGGAAGAGTTCGACATCATCCAGGATGCTGAATCACAACAGTAAGTAAACAAGAATTCACTAAGACGATGAATAGGTCAGCTAATCGAGTGTGATGAAATCATTCTTAGTATAGCTATTAACCGAGGCTGTGTATATGTGTAAATAAGCGGGCAAAATGTAACCTTGATCTGCTCTGGGGGCGCGGGGATTGGGTGCTACGTAGTATAGGGAAATTCACACACTAAATCAAAGAAACTGAGAGCGCGACTCAGGTAAATGCATCCGACATGCCCTCAGGTTAAATACGAGGAAGTGGAGTGTAGGGAAAGAGATTTTTTGAGGTGAAGAGGCTTAGTTAGTAAATGAACACCAAAACCTAAGAACCGCTGGTGAGCGACCGAATTTCTCACAAACATTATCGAACTCCCATCTATTCTAACCAGAGTGAGTTTCACTCAACTGAAGGTAGTGAAGTACACACGACACTGTGAGTGAATGCCTGCCCTAGAGTACAATGACAAAGTTGTCCTCCTAGGTGGTGCATTTGATAGAATGAGACTTACATTCGACCGTATCAATCATTACGTCCCGCACAGGTCGGCCTGGAGACTGACAATCAAAATTAAGGCATTTTAACGACACTGGAACAGCATGGACGCTACGAGACTCTGCCATCAAGACCCTCAAGTACTTCTAGTCCCTATATACCCAATGATCCGGTTGAGGAGGCAATCAAACGGGAAAAGGTTTTAATACAAATCGAGAATACCTAAAAGGATAGAAAAAAAAGATTAGTTTTTGAACCAGGGTAAGATGTACGAGGCTTTATTCCACTCGCCCTATTTTACGGATGCCCCATCATCCGTAAGACGTCTTGTTACGGTTGATCGACAAACCCTGATTTCCATCAACACCGTTTCGAAATAACGCACCTGTAAACATCCCACAAAACGGGGAAATTTAGTCCTCAAATGTTCCTTGCAAAACGAAAGAGGAACTGATGAACAAGGCAGCCTCTCATTTTCGTGTATGAATTGTTGTTGTACCTTTAAACCTGGTGACTGCTTTTGGGGGTTCAGACTGTTTAGGCCTGTGGAAATGAGAATGGCCCAGATTGCACCGCCCGCCGATCGGTGATCATGGAGATCTATAATCCGCGATATCCATGGAGCCAGTTAATCTTAACATAAGAGCTGGCCGCTGGTTAGCTGCGCAAAGTACGACTCAAGAGCAGTTACACAAACATCAATTTTCTGCACAACGGCCTATCTTTGGGACGAAAGTCGCCACCTCCGATTGCAAACGAATCCCGATAAAAATGCTAACCGGAGACTGCCCCATAAATATAAGCTAGCAAATGCATTATTGTCGAATTCGAGACCAGTGGCGCTGGAAATCACGCGTCCCCCATTACCTTGTACGACCGAATATTTTTGGACAAAATACTGGTAGGTAAGACGCCGAAAATTGGGAATAAGTGAGGAAACATGAACGATCTCAGATAACAGGCTGACACTCGTCTTACGCAGCAGCAATTGCGAGTGGAATGGACCACAACCCAGCAGGTTAGCAGCGCGTGTATGATCCAGATTTAACGCGAAAATCATTTGCAAACAAACCAAAGTGAATACCTGAGCAGATTACTGGCTGCAGCGGTAAAAATGTGCATCAAGTGGGAGGCGTGGGGTTCCAAATGCCAGACAGGATTCGAATCCGTCAGTATTTTCACCCAGTCAACCACACTTCCACATCGAGCGATAAGGCGCCAGAGCCGTGGAAGTAAGTCTCCAAGCGACAGGCCTAGAAATAAAACGATAAAAAGCGCAGCACCAATGGATGAACACGTGCAAGTGGCTAATTCTGTTGGTACGGATTTTGTGCCTCACCGTGTGTGATCCACCTAAAGTAAATGCCGGTCGAAGCAACCCAGAAGTGCACATATGCGTCTGATTTCAGTCGTTTTTTTATCAATCTCAGATACTGCAATTGTGAGGTATTTTATGGCCTCACTGTATCTTCGTTACTCTGGTTTACACAGCTTGCGGCTTCTGGTTTCAGCTACCCTTGGCAAGAGGGCATTAGCAAGAATGTTCCTTTCTTTAGTCATTCCAGTGACGGTTCGCTTCAGATGATTCCATGAATTATTGTCAGAAGATGATTTTGCTGGGTGAGCATTCCATCTTTCGTCCAGAATGGGTGAACAGCGAAAATGAACGATGGTTCGTATACGGGTAACCTTTTGCACACGGAACAAAGTTGTGACACAGAGATCACGGTCAAGTTGGCAACACTGCCTCCAAGTGACCACATAAGTAGTTCACATCCAATTTGCCCCTTTGCTTGATAACATACAGCGTAACTTTTCATATTAATTCGAAAAACAACCCTACAGATGAAATGATGACGAAACTACACTTTAATAACAGAGAGTCGGGTCACAGTATTATTGCGTGCACTGTATTCCCAACTATGAAAACGAGTTAAGTGGATAGTCACTGGTATTTTTCAGACCACGGGAAACATATCACGATGGACAAAAGCCTTAAGAGGAAACTAATCTGTCAGGGACATGGTTTTGAATGCCCTGATTTCTCTCCATTGCTGCTCCTTCCTGAACAAACAGACGGTCCAAGGACCAATAGAGAAACAACTTCTGGCCCCTCCAAGCAAATGTCCAATGTTTTCAGCGAAAGAAGCCATAACTAAATGCCCCACATCAGTGACTCAAATTCACCAGTTAACTATCACCAAACGTGTCGTTAATACACCGACCCATTACACCTATGGACGATTATAGATTAAACTCAGATACACCAACACTTCACAGTTGAAACCCCAGAATAGAATAAAGAAGAGTGCTCAATACTTATCAGGTTTTCGAAAACCCTGATCCTTTTTGTTGCTAATATATAAGTATGTGTCCAATGACTTGTGTTGGATGCCTCTTACTTAAATCATACGAGACGGAACAAGTGAACAATTACTTCGGTGACGCTGAATTTATATTCACGATGCTACGAATCACGGGCTTTGAATGCAGGGAACGATTTCTACAAGCGAAGTGACGGGATAGGAATCCCACTTTCCGGAAGTTGATGGGAAACACTCGCCAACACATGAAACCATGCAACACGGTTCTCCACCCTTCCACGAAGAGACGTTTTCGGGTTCGATTAAAGTGGTTCACCACGCCTGTAAACGTATGTTGCTAAAGCAGGAAATGATACGTCAGGATGTGCAGACATAATCCGGGAGTAGCAGCCAGGCATGGTGTTGCAGTCTGAGTGAACTTACCCGCTAAAATATCATTCTTGATCTCTCTGAGGCTTCCGACGTTGAAACAATACAACATACAAACAGCTTTGAGTGATCTGGGCAAGTCCTGCGGTCCATACAGACTGGTGTGGGGTCCATAGAGAGAAAGTGAGTTCGAATGCTTTTTGCTTTTGCCCAGTTTGCCACCGGCAAGTTGATTGAAGAAATGTGTCAACTCGTGGCGTACACGACCGGCATAAAGTTCGATGTGTGATCGCCCACTTTTCGGCGCGGTCCCAGAATGAGTTTTCGCAGAACTAGAGGCTCCGCTAGATGCTCCAGCAATTTCATCCAATTCAGTCTGAGCGTACAGGTCCCCGAAAAGAAGACGGACCATTCGATTGTTCCATAAAAGGCGCAGTTGCTTCGTAACGAACAGCATAGCAGACTGTAGACTGTAGGAAGAAATGTTATTGGATAACTCGTAATGTAGTTAAATAGCACAGAGTTTGTAAAACTGGCACAAACTTCAATATGATTATTCTCAAACCAGAAGGGGGTGGGGTTGTTCCAAGGGGGGACTCGAGGAGTTGAAGATAATTGGCCGAAGACTGGTGAATAATAAACCAAATATAATGTTAGTAGAACCATTCAGACATTTTGGGGGTTGAATCGGAAAATCTGGTAAGGAGACCAATTTCATCGTGGAGAAGGGGAAGCATCCTTGGGACGGCACCAAACTAGCTTGAGAATCAGCGAATATACACTCATCTGCAAACTAATTTGGTTCTTTCGAGAGACTCACCTGGAACCCAGCTGAATCTCTCGTTCATGATGTTCTCAGGCAACTGAATGTGCAGCACCAGGTCGCCTCATGTTTCAGTCGCTACGATATTTGAAATATCGCGATACATGTATATTTGCCTGAGAACATCATAAACGAGTGATTCAGCTGGGTTCCAGGTGAGTCTCTCGAAAGAACCAAATTAGTTCGCAGATGAGTGTATATTCGCTAATTTCGTGTAATTTGGTTTCAAGTAGAACATAAGGTTGACGGAAACCCGGGGACTGCGCCTACCTGATGAGCCCCAAGAAGGGCGAAACCGGTCGTGGGCTGTCGATGGATTTTCAGCAACCTTATGAGTAGTACATTACAAATGTAGCTTGAGAATCATTACCTAAACTCTGGGTAAGTGTGTCCGGAGGCCAGCCGTCCCTAATAACCGAACATCACATTAGTTGGACGGATGTGTCAGGTGCAGGATGCCCTGAATGCCGGCCAATCCGAGTCAAGCATCTTTGACTCGACGCTTTTCGCCCCCCTCACTGAGAAGCTGGTACGACCTTGTGGAACACCGTGACTACCCTATAAATACAATTGTAATGATTTGCCTTTGTCTCCATAAAGGGCTGGGTAGAGCTACCGTGCCTTTTGATATACCATATTGGGAGGAGCGGGAAGCCAAGGAACCGATACAGAGTTGCACTACCGTTCAGCAAGAAACAACACACTGTCAATGAAAACGCACGTCCAAACTGATCACATACAACTATCTATTCCCTATTTAGGGGTTCCAATTGTGTTGTGTGGGGGAACTCATCCCTCAGTTCGGCCATCCAGTTCACGCTAGGACCCTTGGAAAGGTCACACTTACACGTAATAGCTATGCCTGACGGCAAAGTGTGTCCTCAGCAGCACATATAAGATAAGAACGGTTTCAAAAACAACAGTCAATAACGTGGTGTACAAACAGACAAACACGAGCACCTATAAAAGAGTAGAGCTTATTATGGATACAAATTATACAAAAATGTATGGGGTGTGCATTATGCATCCAAATAACCTACGAGTTATCCAGAGGTTGTGCAAACCAACCCAGAATTGGATGCCAGCTGGAGAGATTGGATTTTTTACTCCCCACATAGTTACTCAAGTGGCGCATAAGCTTTGACAACACCACCTAAAATGGAAGACAACGTCAACGTGTTGTCAACATGAAAAACAGGTTGTCAATCAAAGAATTATCTATTTGGCTAGCGCATTCCGTGGAGAGAACTGAAAGTGCGAAAGGGATGGAATGTTAACAATTCTCACATAAATTCTTCAGTTTCACACTGGAAGAACTGAGACAAGTTAGTAGTCAGCAAAATCGTCGCGAAGACGAATCGGCACTGCTAGTAGTGGGCATTTTGAGTGCATTACTGAACGTAATTTGTTCTTTGATAGCAACCCCCGGTTCCACGAATTTCTACCATCCGATTACCATCACCATGAACCAACGCTAATCTGCCTAAATGTTACTTCGGCCTTTCCTATTCATAGGTGGACTGGTCTTTGTAGACACAACCGTTTTATTCGCTATCTTATGTTGAAAAAGGTATGGTCCTCGCGCAACTGCGTGTATCTTTACGAATTACGACTGCTAAGCAGAATATCGCCGTATGGTTTAGGAGGATAAAACTATTCCGTTTTTACATACGGACCACGAGCTAGCAGGAGTAAAAAAAAGCGAATACCAGGTGAGCCAGTTGGAGTTCGGTCGATCACCATCCACCTGCTGAAGATGAGATCAAAAAAGACTGTTCAGTCGTTCTGCCGAACAAACGCCACACAAGGGATTTAGGTGAGTCTTCTAGGGGGGCAATATGTTCGATTATACGATCAAACACCAATACAAAGCAATAACACTCAGCGATGGTACGATGAAACAATCAAACTGATGAGGCGACAGGGTCACACACTCGAAGACCACATCATAATGAGGGTCATTTTTTGTGACCAAAGAAAATCAGTGCTAGGAAGCTTCAGCTCAATAGGTGTCCTCCCAAAAATCGTCACAGGCTCATAGTTGAGCCTAAGAGGATTCGTATTTCGATTGTACCTATTTTCGATCCCGTGAGCCGACGATTTCACTATTTTCGATCCGGTGAGCATCACCGACGATTTCAGCAAGTAGACTGGGACGCCCATTGGTCTTTGCCGGGAGTTGAAGGGGAGTGGTGTATTAATTCAAAGCTGAGTCACAAGACAGCGTGGCGAAGCACCCATATTTGACGATATAACAGCAATGCAGGCTCGCACACACATGTGCAGTAGATGCACTAGGGTTGAATTCTATTAAGGATCGCACTACAAATACTCGGCCTCGGAAGAGGACGACTGGAGGGAATTAACAAGCAACATAAAAATTTTAGTGCATATTTTATCCCGAAAGGCAAAGAAAATCTACGTTGAAAAGCGATAAGCACTGTACAGATGTTTCATCCTTATTGTTATTCAGCAGGGGTGCACATCTCAGAGAGTCTAGAACCCAAGACTTGATCATTCGGCCACGAGCGGCTGATCAGCGGTGTGATTAACTTGCGGTTAGATAGGGAACAGCTAAGTTCTGAGGTTTTGTTAGACACATACTGATTGTGTTCCCAAAAATTGAAAAGCGATAAGCACTGTACAGATGTTTCATCCTTATTGTTATTCAGCAGGGGTGCACATCTCAGAGAGTCTAGAACCCAAGACTTGATCATTCGGCCACGAGCGGCTGATCAGCGGTGTGATTAACTTGCGGTTAGATAGGGAACAGCTAAGTTCTGAGGTTTTGTTAGACACATACTGATTGTGATTCCCAAAAAGGACGTAACAGCTGTACAATGCTTCTTGGCTTTTTAGCACATATTAGCCTCACTTGCAGGACGAAATCTCCATTGAAAAACTGTCCAATCTCCTCACATTACTAACAGTTTATTGATCGCCAGCCAAGGCAATAATGATACAAAAGCCTAAGAAATAGAGGGCCCAAAAGCAAGGACAAGTCAATAATTGAATCGACTGGAAATCGAATGATCTACAAAAGACACTAATGGACTGACAGTGGGAGGAACCCAGCGGTGAATGAGGATGGAACATGGTACGCAAAGTTCATTAATGCGTCGACAAACATGAATTGTTCCTAGATTTGTCGTTTCATGGAGCGGCACAGAAGAATACCATGTGTATTGATCCACATGATTATCGGAATCTGATTGTACTATGACTTGATAATTTCTAATGAAGATTTCGTCCTCCAAGTGAAGACAAACTATGCTGAAAAGCCGAATCATTTCTCTACACAGAAAAGGAGACGCCACCGAAACACCAGTAAAGTCGAACAATATCAATAGCTCCTGTAGTTATTGCATGAACACAACCGCTAATTAATGGTTAGGAAGGTAAAACCCGTACGTCAAAATGGTGGTGGTTGCTAAGTAACTTCAAAATCAGCTACAAGACGTAAACTATCGAGGTAAAGTAGAAACTCACACAAAACTCAGAGCAGTGGAGCGCAATCACCTCTTCTTCAAGTAGACTGAGTTGTATCAGATTGGCTGTTGAAGTGGGGTTGAGATGAGCACCAAAAAAGAGCCAGATATCACCCGTATGCAGGAATGTAAAAACAGAGGGACCGGTGGATAGCACTACTAATATGGGTGCATGTAGCGATGAAAGCATCCAACAATGATGAAAAATAGCTTTTACATTTGTAAAATCAGTCGTTGTAGGTAGCATGACAAGACCCGTGATACGACTAAATCCTGAGACAGACTTTGAACTACACACTCGAATGAAGAACAATACAAACGAAAAGTGCATCTGAGTTCCATGTTGACACCATCGTAGTTTGCGACTGAGTGTTTAGCTCCACATAAGTCCGATTTAGTGTCTAAATGAGAAGCGGTAATGTAAGAAATTCTGGATTAAGCACATCTGATGGGTTTTCGAACACAAAGGAACAGGTAGTGAGCCGATCTTTCCATAAGACGATACCTCGTTATTGTATATATCAGCCAAAGTGAATCCTGAGGATGCCTATGGACTACATGTGCGGAAGAAATTAAAGCGACTCTAACATCCATACCATTTCAATTTGCATATAAATGGCTTATTTCATGTCGGACTGACGCTGAATCGAATCAGGTAGTTGAGGGATGCACACTGATCACAAACGATGGGTGCCGCTTTCAAAAAATACGACACGGACTCACTATTGCCTAGTTGAACGCCAGGAACAACTGAAAAACACCCAAACCCAAATGAGAGGTCTGTCCCCAACTTTGTTCTCCAGGAATCTTCAGACAACCTCAACCTAACATACCTAATTTGTGGCAACTTGACCTTGTTTCACACACACACACACAAACCATTAGAGCTACGGTGCGTGTAGTGTGTGAAGAGGACGATTTTGCTTGCACCAATCACACACACACACACACACACACACACACACACACACACAAACCATTAGAGCTACGGTGCGTGTAGTGTGTGAAGAGGACGATTTTGCTTGCACCAATCGCTTTCTCATTGAGAAGTCCGAATCCAAACTGTCTAAGCCACTTTGAGGTATTGCCTAATCGGAGGTTGAACTCAAAACAAAACCACAATTTGAAACGATCAGAAAAAGTGAGCTACAACTAGCGAGTTATGAAAGGAAAGTCACGATCATCGGGGGCATTTCACCGGTGCGCAAATTAGGAGTGATGGAGTTTCTGTTCAAGCCAGAAAATTGCTGATATGTTTTCTTATTCTCTAGTTCCAAGCAGAGAGGCGTTTCTTTGCATGGTCTATTTACATCTGGCAGCCTGACTCTTTAGTCAGTTGTTTCTTTGTTTTGAGCTGTGCGAAACTCCTCCCAAACTTATAATCAACATCATTATCAGCTGTAAGAATCACGTATTTGCTGTACACTGGTTATAGCAGCCATAGTTTCGTTCACCGATGATTTAGGAAGTGGGGTGGGTAGCTGTGCACTGGAGGCGGGAGTTGACATAACTGATAGCTAACTATAAGGCTTTCATTCTACTTTTAAGCATGCGCCTACAGTCTCTCTTGCTTTTCTAACGCACGCAACGTTGATCTTTTCAGTGGAGGACGAAATTCCGTGGAATAGCCACCGGTAAAGCTACCACTATCGTGCACGAGGGCTGCGCAACTGATGCGAGTTACACTCAATCATAACCTGACGATTTCTTATCTAGTGCCGAACTTGAGAAAGTGTAGCTCGCTTGATTTCACTTTATCTGAGAATCCAAATGAAATCAAGACCACGGATGAAGCTAACAATGGTACAGTGATTTTTCTTCTTGACCGTTCCTTGCCCGATTACTCAAAAAAATTTTCCAGCGCAGTAGATTCATATCACAAAAAGTAGGATCCTCTTGAGTGGTCGCTTGTAAAAGGCGGATACTGCATCCGCAGCGTAACAGAAAGGGGATTGTCACAATCGTTTCGTTCTTCGATGTTTCTCAGATGGAGGTTTCTTGTCGATAAAGGATAATTCAAGAACACAAAACGTACTGAAATCGTCCTAAAAGCGCATAGGAACAGGAATGAATGAAACAGTAATCTAATACTTAGAAGCACATTTGGTTCTGAATTCGATCGAGTTTTATGACGTCATACAATCACACCACACAGGGCGGCACTTTTGTCTTTTTTCACAAGTTATAAATTGACACATAATCGTTCCTACACCAGTCCACTAAGTGAAAGGCCCTAGACTGGAAAACCGTGGCTCCACGGAAAATGTACGCACGGGGGAAGGAGACAAAACGCACGAGACTGACCAATGAAGCACAATACGTAAGGTCCTTCGACGGAGGACACCAGTAGCTCCAATTCTTCTGCATGGTTGTGATAGAGTAGGATAACTTTTGAACACAACCGTTCTTTCACGATGATATCGTAGGACTAGAAAGATAGATGAATAAAAATCGGTGCTGAAAGAAAGCAAACGAACAATTAATCTACACATTGGAACAGCTAGCGGGGCAGCAGGTGACACACCAGTACAAAAACCGTTTGGAACAGGTACGGAGTGGTCGTTTTGACAGTGGAAATACACAAGTGAACTGGGATTACTAGTCATAAACGACAAAATCTTGCGCAAACCCCTCGTAAGACTGCAATTTTTACGGACTATCTCGGCTACTCAGGACAGGCTTGTCAATTTAACAGAAGAGACCTGAGGGACCCTGAAGAGAAGTGAAACCGACTTGGTTCTCAACCGGGAGGCAAGAAATTCAAGTTGTCACTTGGAGGGTACGATCATGCCTCAGACAGCTTTAATAAAATGAGCCTCAGAAATAGGTAATCTTGTTAACGAATGCAATGCACCTCCCTTTATTCTACACAAAAGCGAGGTGTTCATTCACACTTGATGGGATTTTCAGTGATTATACCACCATCCTAACAACAAGAATGTAGTAGTATGGAACATACGATCAATATTCTCACCGTATTACGATTCAGTCAGAAAGGCTGATAATTCGATCTTCGAACAGTTCGAAAAAAGGCACCAAATTCACGAGGTTGGCCAGATGTATGGCCACATGGGTTCTGGATTAGTGTATTCAACCGGGTCCTTGGGAGTATACGATAGACGGGAGTTGTTGAAATTAGTCTCATAGGTTTCATGTTTTTCCACATTAATCATGAGCAGTTGACGCTTAATTCTAGCAGTGTGACCCATAATCGGGCAGCCCTGTAAACTCTGACACCTCTGTGAATAACGCAACAGATCATGGGTTGGATCATTTTCCCACTATTGGTCTGCTGGTTTCATTCTTTCAAGAATGATTCATGTACTTTCCTCATTTTCATTTGGCGCGCGTTTCGATCGGAAGGCGTAACCTCAGAAGCAGGTTGATTTCTTGAGTGTATCATTTATTCATTTCGGCCTTAAGTGTCGTGATCCCCTATGTACAGGGCCGAATACCAGTCCTGATAGCGCTTCCCTACATTTACGCATACCCTGAGGAATGGTCAGAAACTTAGCTACAGTTCACTTCATCGCCGTTCATACACTGGGTGAGATGAAGCGAGCCCACATAATCACTTACTCACCGATACGGATAACAAAAGTGGAATACACACTACTTAATCCATGAGATGACTGGTTTTGCATTCAGTTCTACGATAAAAAGCAATATACATGAATTGCATTGCGTAACATACCCTGAGGATGGGGAAAGCTAATAAAAACATCCTGAAATGAAGATCAAACGCTTGGGAAAATAAACGCGTTACGCTAATACGGAAGCGAAGCATCGGTGTTGAACACTGATGTCATGCTGTCGATGATGATGATGGCTTGTTACTTATGCTACTATCGATAACGCAGCCTGAAACGCTGAAGACAAACAGAACTGGTGATGAAGAGGGTGTGCAAAGAGCCAGACAAACTGAAAATATCCGAAGTTGTTCAATACTCCAAGAGTAAGACTCGGTGTACGAACAAATGGACACCCCACTCAGACGACAGAAAACATTTGACTAGCGAGGCCCCGAAACTAATGTTTACAGATGAACGGAAAAGACACTGACCTCATTCATCATTGAACTAACGTGCAGAATTAAACCGGGGACGGTTAGAATCTGAGAAGTAAATATAATCAGCTTGCTCTTGTTGAAATTTGAATACAGCAACGGACTGAAAAAGAAGGTAAACCAAAACAAGTAGTTAGTTTTTGTTTCACATGAATAAAATCACAGCAAAACTGCGCCAGAATGAACACACCGGAAACCTGAAAAAGAAACGCTAATCGTAACGTAGTGTTTGCAGTGAGGGGAGTATACCCGAACGGGTCGCATTGTGTATCAAACATCATTATGCAACAATCTCGACGACGAATACCAATCGATGGCAAACTGCCATGCTCTCAGAAGGAAGCATGAGGGCTGGGATAGTTCCAGCCCAGGCAGGCCTAGACAGGGGAAGTTGAGAGGCAGAGATCAGGGTCGAACCACAGACCTTCCGATCAGCCAATTCGCGCTCCAACTATTTGAACGATCTCGCGCGATGAATGCCTACTGAAACTCGGAATGCGTTGATGTTCATTCAGTATGAAATAGCTGAATAAACGTCCATAGGGATCAAGGTAAGCCTAATCTCAAACAAAAAAGGGCTCGCGCGATGAATGCCTACTGAAACTCGGTGAACTGCCTCGGAATGCGTCGATCTTCATTCATTATGAAATAGCTGAATAAACGTCCAAAGGGATTACGGTAAGCCTAATCTCAAACAAAAAAGGGGAGGGAGCACAAGTGACGACGTGTTACCACTTCTAATACTATTAGCCGTCCACGTAAGGTATACGCAGAAAAAACATTGGAGAATATGCGTAGGGTAGGAAGAATGGAATGGGTTCAGAATTACACAGATAGCTTGACCAGCTGTTTGTAGGATGAATGGTTCTTTTTAATCGGTAAAGCTCCGATGAATGCTGTTATTCGGCAGTTGAGATTGCTTAGGATGATTCTGTATGGTTGACTGGGGTCAATCAAACAACCTGACGTAAGGAAGGGCTTGGTGAATACGTGCGTCTCGTGGCTACTGTTGCGCTATGTTCATTACATACTTTGGCTGGTGTTCACTCATTCTTTGTGAAGTAAACCAACCACTGTGCCGGATTAATGAGACGCTAGCTGCCGTTGACGAATACGATCACCTCCGAAATGAGAGTTTTCTTCCGACGATGTGGTATATCCGTATGAAACTCTCAGGATATCGGTTGTATAACACGGCCTACTTCAAAAATGCCTCTGCCAGCTTGTTACCAGTGCTGACGTTTATTATCCAGAAATATTGGTCTGGAGCCAAAACAATGATATTTCTTACATAGTTCTTTTGGAGCGTGGGGCGTGCGATAACACCTCAATTCGTTTACTGTCAAAGTTAGAAAGGCATATGTGGGAACGGAACCTAAACGACTACTAACCGGAGAACCGTCAATAGGTAAGCGCGGAACATCTTCGAAAATAAGACGTATATTTTCAGCACATTAGAGAACGAGGTCTCTTAGGAAAACTAATGGAATACCCGGCAGAATATTTTCGCGGGCATACAAAACGTCAACTGTCGTGCATATGGGAATTAGAGAATAATGACCCAGTATCAACGGAAAACACATCTGGGGAACTCCCTGGGATTACTCCAATTACTGGACCAAGTTCAAAAGAGCCATTCGAACAGATGGAAGTTGGATATTTCCGAATGAGATGTAGTTGGTTGACTGTCCGCATTGCCAAACTGTGGTGAGGTTGATAAATGCTCGCTCATGATAGATCTCAGTGGATTTGGGTTTCAGGGGGTCTTTATTGTCGCGTAATCATCTACCCCATTTATGGATCGACCAACAGGTACGATCGTACTGACACTAGTAGAGCGGACAGCCGCTGAACGTAAAGAAAGGCCAAGTACCCTCCTAAATAGATAGTGGACTTAGAGGAACAGCAGTCATCAGGACGTCAGTCAAGACCCGCCTCTCTCGACCACGACCGTTCATTCGACTGGTCCTCGGTAGGTCAATCACCGTCATGCTGCACAATCCTAACCATCAAAAGTTGGTATTCCACGAGACTAGGCAGAATAGAATCAAGCGACTATTTTTGTGCGCCTAGAAACAACAGACTCAAATCCTTATTCTATCCCACAGGCACAGAAATGGCTAAAGACCTGTGTTATGCGACTCTATGCCTTCTGTTCTCCTTTAGCACAGTGGTTTTCATCCTATAACGTATGTCTGACGAAGACGATTGGTGAAAGATATTTTTAAATTCTCGTCACTTGCGCCTGCTGACCGGATTAATGGGGACTTTACTATAAGCTGCATGATTCAGACTCGTCAGACTTTAATAAGTATCTGCTGAAAACGGACGATGACATGTAGCTTTCCATACGCAGCAATAAGGGATAGCTGTTCTCATACATAGAGAGAGAGGAAGGAGCCTTATCGAAGAATTCTGGTACCACGGAATTAGTTCTACTACAATCCCCTTGAAGGGAGAGTCTCCTGAGGAACACAACTCTAGTGTACTGAAAGACCAATTCACTCTCCAAGAGGAAAAATCAGAACGGAGGTACTCCCTGTTATTGGCTGAGTTTAACTGGTCAACCGTCAAATGCTGCAGATACGCTATTGCACCATATCAACGAACTCTCTCTAAGTGAATTTGACTTCAGTTGATCGACAGTTTAGCATGGGGTACGATCACAACACCGATCACCAGAATACGTCCCAGCTGCAATACTTATTTGGGGTAATGAAGCTGGAAGCCAGAAAAAAAACAGTGTAATACAACTCTATATTGACCAAGTTTGTACTAATCATTATATATATATATATATATATATATATATATGTCTGCCGCAAGGCAGAAGCAACGGCTCTACGCAATGTTTGTGGTTTGTAACAAATCCTTCGACTCAGTCAAAAGAGAAGGCACTGTAGATCATTCTACAAGAACTTGGCTGCCCATACAAATTTGTAGGCCTCATCAAGTTTTTTCACACTGAGATAAAAGCTCGTGTGTAAGCCTGAGCAAATTACCTCGGACAATTTCGTAATCGATACCGGAGTGTAGCAGCTCAGTTGTTGGGAGCCTTTATTTAACAACAATCTGTGCATGGGATTGTCACCGTGAAGGTGGCATAACACTTCAACATGTTCGGATGGTTATATGCTCAATTCAAAGCGTTTCCGGGTCAAAACACTGTTGCGCGAGTCCAATGTCCGAATGTCGTTATTTGCATCATCATCATCGACATCATGACATCAGTGTTCAACATCGATGCTTCGCTACCGCTATTTGAAGCGGACTTACTTTCACATTCTGCAGCGAACTTACAGTACCTGACTGCGGTGTTCCGTTCAGCGGCGTCTCGCTCTGGTTCAAATATAAATATTCCTAAAACTTTGCCTCTTATCAGTCTGAACTGGAGATTCAGCAGAAGGTATTCAGCACTATGTATTCCGCTAAATTGTTATGAGATAGCGTGTTGCATGAATTTCTGCTATCGTGATAAAACACTATCCATAGACCTGACACGTGACAGTGAAAGAAATGCACCAACTGCAGAATCCAGCACGGCACTTGGTGGCCCTAAGAAACGCATCTCGAGAAGTCACTACGTGCCCAGAGGCACCAAGAATGTAGTGTATTGGACTGTTTGTATAGCTATATAGACAGCATGTTCGGGTTCTTGACTGATTTCCTTGCATGCTCTGCAAAATCTTCCGGATCAAATGAAATCACAGAATCCCGAATGGCGAAAAACTTCGCACAGCAAGCGTTTTTGGAGGCACACCGATGGAAAACCAACTCCTCTGATAAGGCGAGCTGACACGCACGACCGGAACTCGTACTCCAAAAAAACGAGTCTATGATCAGCCGAAGAACAGAGCTCAAAATCGGGGGTGGCCGAAATTCCACCACTGGGACAGCCTTCAGTTTTGAAATCGAGATAAGTCAGTGATTAAGGCGCAAGCTTACTGGAAGCAAGCACCATGGTTCGAACCCAACTTCTGCATCTCGACTGGACAACTTATGTACTTCTTTCGGGTGACCTGAGGTCTAGGCACCGAAAGGATTCTAGAGCTGAGCGATTTTTCAGGTAAGTTTGAAAAACTGTAATTCCCATTCCAGGTCACGGAATGACCGGTGACCCGAGATAACGGCGTAGAGAACTGCCAGGTAAGAAGGCGTGAGTTTGAAATGCAATGCATTGCAATTCCGCCAGGCACATGAGCCATTCTGAAAAAGCTGAGTCTACCAATGCACCACTGTCCATGCGGACTTGCGTAACATGAGGACGCACGTTTTTAGCAACGTAGTTCATCAGGCTATCCCCCCCAGACCACCTGCTAAACATGGTCTTCTGGAACCCAGGTAAATTTATTACATTTTCTAATGACTGCGTGCCGGACAGTGTCTCTTATAGGGTAACATCATTAACAACTCACCACCCTGATGTGTTGCTAGGGCTCTCCCGGTATGGCGCTATACTAGAGATGTGGTATTACCTTGAAACTTAGAGAAATTGACGGACGATGCCGTCAGCCCGATGACGAAAAGTTACCTGGTGCCGGTGCCCATTGTTATGCCGCCATGTTTGGGCCAGCCGATGGCTTGCGACAGGCCCCTGCATGTTCGTCGTCCTCGGATTTAAAATGACACTCTGCGATACGGTTCTCACAACGAAATGCTCTTTCAGTATCTTCCGAAGTTTATTATCCCAGAGAGATCGTAATGTATTCATCGTCCCTGTTGGATCACCCGTTCTGCTGGAATTTCCACCCAACAGTGCTCTAAACCTCCTGCCAGCAACGTACCAACATGATGGAAATCAGTTGCGATAAGTTCATTGTAATACTTCTCTGTACGGTTTGACTGTCATCAACAGGGTTCAGAAATAAATTCACTGTGATGACGTCACAATGCGATAACTGACAGACATTCCAAAAAAATGTATCGATAACCAAGTAGGCATCCTACTGAATTCCTCAGCAAAAACAACACTCGGAGTGTTCATTCTATGCTGTCAATAAGGTAAATTCTGGAAGTCAATTCTAGCACCTACGTACCAACAGCTATTTCATTCCAACGGGGTTAGACTACCTGCATATGTACACAAATGACTCTACTCGAAACAACACGAATGGTAGACTAATAAAAATGATACAAATACGTGTTACCAGTGTCGAATGTTGTCGTTGACCCATAAAGTTTGAAAATGCAGTCAAAAGATGATGTGGATAAACTCACCGCACAGCAAGCGTGAATAGGCCGGTCAAAGAAGTGCTGGTAAATGCTGGGGTATGTCTTGCAAGACCTTTACAGAGTAGAAGCTGTGAGGAAACGATTGACAAGTGTTGTTCAACAACATACGTGGAGCTTCTCATACAGCTGATACTGTATCATGTGGTCAAGAAGGACAGCATTCAGCTGTTGCATTGAAGATTTCAACTTTTCTGTGGAAACAAGAAGCCATAGAAGTTTTGACTCATCAATGTTCTACTGAATAAACAGAGTACTAGTGAACATCCGGCTGAGTGAAAAAATCAACAAGACGGTCACGCACGAATCCTTTGACCTGTTAGGGAGGTATGAAATAGGTTACGAAAAATATGGCTGCTGGCGGTGCGACTCACCTTTCGGGATGGGGACTCCGTCACCCAGACTGCACTTAGTAGGAGACGCTGCAATATATGGCTGATAATCGATGTCAATGGTATTCTTGTTGTCAGTTTCTATCCAGATTGCTCGAATGAGTGTCTGAAGGCGTAGGCACCCGAAGATGATTGTTAGGCTAGCATTAGATCGGTTTCCAATCTATTTTTATTCCTTTTTTCATAATAAGGCTTGCAAACAAAGCGGGTTTTTACGGCAGCGAAGGATCAGTGTTGAACGCTGGCGTGCTGTCGATGATGATACTGACGAATAATCATGCAGCAATGAATAGTTCGAAGCCGGAGTTGAAGTAGCAATTGATGTCACTATCGACAACCAAAATAGGTGCTCGATGGTTTGCGGACAACAGAACCAGAGGACTAAGACCACCGTGAAATGGTTCCCTCGTTCGTCCGGTACAAAGCTACCTGATTACTGCACACCCCATAGGGCAGCAGGTACACTACGCTGTAGCTGATAAAAGCAGCTCTGATCATCACCTTCATTCCTTCGGGATATTAAGGACCTTTAACAGATTAGTTAATCACAGAAATCGATAGTCACGAAGGAAGTGCACGAAAAACCCATTGACACTTCACTCATAGAAGTAATGAAGACGATAATTTGCGCAAGCAGAGTGCAGGAGGCAAACGACGAAAATCCCAATCTAGTGTTCAGACCGGCACAGAAAAGGATCATATCGTCCGTAGACGTTCAGTCCCATTAATCAACTATAATGAGCTATATACTCCATAGCGAGACAAGCTGCCGGATTTTACGCTGAACTGTCTTGAGCGAGAACTGCTGGATTGGTCTTTGTCCCTACATCTCCATGGTGTAGGCCCCACTTTAGTGAGACTGACTTCTGGAAAAAGATAACTCGGGTTCGTAGGTTTTTGAAGTAAGGGTATGTCGAGGTTACACAGAATACCGGTAAGGACGTTGTTTTATGTTCACGGAAAATGGGTCATTTTGCTTTCACCCAACTTCTGAATTTCAAATAGTGCGAAAGAATCCAAATGCTTTTGTCCGTCTACCTCGGTCATCTTCAAAGCATATCCTTACAGACCGAACTGCTTCAAAAAAAATGTTTCAGCCCATTTAACTAAATATGATTTAAGACCCAAACAGTGCTTTGAAAGTGAAAATCCATCCAACACTTGATGCCTGTTTCCCAGACCAAATCAGCTGTTTTCGCACCGGATAAAGCAAAATACTATTTTAGACCGAATCAAAGGTGATAGGTGACCAGGCATGAAAATAACACTGGGAACTTACCATCATAAAAGCTCCAGCACGAATAATCTGTAACGACTAACAGGAACGAGAGGAATAAACTGAGCAGCCTTGAACCGCTTGGAGTGCAAGGCTACAAGACAATTTAATGTAACTTATATGCAAAGTGACCCACATCAAGTTCGGATAAATAGTGTAATGTGTAGACGAATATCCACTTCGTCACAGATATCCAATCTAGCAAAGTTGCTTTCCGGAGCGCCAGTGCAAGAAAAGAAATCTGCTGGTGAGCACAAGAAATTAGTAACTCACATCAGGCTTTGCCGTTTCAATCGTTGACATAATATGACGTATGAGAAGTTCAAACCGCTAGATAAGTTCGAAAATTAGAAACCACAAGGAATACTTGTTTATCGTGTTGCGGAGAGAACTTGAATAACAGGTATTTGATAGCACGAAGAAGGTCGACCACTGTGAAACGGATTACACGATGAGAGAGGTGAAATGGACAAACCTGCAGAGTCTGGGACCAAACATTGGTCAAACTGTGTGCTGTTGTTAGTGTTAATGAATCAGAGTACACAACGGAAACGACGACCTACCGAAAGTGATGAAGCACCAGTTTACGATCTCTGAATCCCCTCCAATTTCTCTACACAAGGAATCAATTCCTTTGGATTATTTCTCACCTGTATACATATAGCGGCCTGTTCTCGAAGACGGGCTTCGCGCCGCTCATCTCTCTCTTTGCGCTTTGTTTCAATAAATGTTGTGTGTTCTGGATGAACTTTCTCAAACATCTGCCGTAGCAACCCTGAACAAGGAGAAAGAAATGGCGGACTACGTTTCCCAGAACTGGTGATTGAAGTAGACAATAAAGTGGTTTCTAACACAGGCTAATTGTTGTTATATTTCCACCAAGCTGATAACCCCCATCATAAAGCACAGAGTTCAAACTAATTATCCTAAGTACCAAAACGAAGTGCGCAAAACACACTATATTTGAAGTGTACTCAACAAAAGCACTCAGGGAATTCGAGTGACTTTTGGAGGCATCGTCAACATTTGGCACGAAGGGGATATTGGAAGGTGATTAGTTAGAGTCCATAAGATCGGCCAGTCGGCGTTCGTGTCAAACACGGGTTCGCAAGTCAGTTGGATCAACCACTCGAGACGGCTGTGGTTAAAGCGGGAACTTACTGACCGGAAGGCCCGTGGTTAGAACCCGACCTCTGTATCTCAACTGCTCCTGTCCAGGTCTGAGCAACCTGGCAGTACTCCGGCACTCATGCTTCCTCCGGGCGGCATGGAAGCTAGGCACCACAAGGGTATTACGGCTGAACCACCATGGATCGACCACTCGAGGTAGGCCACGCAGCATCTAAACTTGTCTGGTAGGTGGTTTCGCTGAAGGATTACACCTGGCACCTTTTTTAAGTTTGCTGCAGAAAGGTAGAAGTGCAACTGCAGTCGACTCACCGGTTCTAGAATCCTGTTTGTCCTGTGTCACGTTTGTCACGTTGGGTCATTCTGGACCACTGACTGAACAAATGACGATCAAAGATGATCTGTTAAGATTATTTTGATAGGGAGACCTGATCTGCACACTTGTAAGCGTGTTAGATCGACGGAGGTGACATCGGAATACCTCAATCGTCCAACGGTAACAAAATCAAGGAGTATATAAGCTAACAACGAAACTCGGGAGTTTTATACACGGTATTTCCAGCAATGTTCTAGAATATCACACCGAAACCCTATGGATTTTGCAAACACCAAAAAACGTTAGCCATTGGGGAAATTTTTCATAAAGGGCAAAGTACTGTTTTGAAAATGAAGAGTAAGTTTTTTTTGCAAGTAGATGATCGTGCAGATGTCACTAGCGGCATAGCATAAATTTTTTGCTCCCAACAGAGAAAGAGAAATCTCAGGTGATCTGTAACAGGCATGCTTGTCAATTCTCACTTACATCACTCCCGTTTGAACAGTCTTCCTCCTGCCCTGGTACAAAGGCGGGGGAAATACTTATTTCGAGCTTCGCTCTCGCCGACCTTAAAAAGTCCGTTTATCTGAGGGTCAAGCGGACCCCATCCTGGGGGGCGAACAGCGCCCAAACTTTTCAAAGCATTCTTCCATGTAAAATACAAGGTTTCCGCCATTCCAAATTAGGCACGGGAAACAGCCTCCATCCAAACAGGTGGTCACTCGCCATGCAGAACACATGACCCAACCCCCTTAGATTCGGTGCTGGATGTATTCTCAAGAAATATAACCCTCTGCTTCACCAAAATCCGTAGCCTGATTGCCTCACTGCATATTCGCTGACTCCAGTCTATTTCAGCAATACTTCTGAAACACTGGTAGTCAAAGACCAGATATCTCAGGTCGTGCGCCCAAAGTGGCCAAGTCTGGCACCTGTACAATGTAGCCCATACTGTCGTTTCCTACACGGGTTCTTCGGGATTCAGTGAGATGTTTTTTGAAGTCACAAGTGGAAAAATTGGCAAACAAAATTCTGACCTTCAAGATTCATGCATTAAATTCATCTGTCACACTACCGTCAGAGATAATGCAAATCCCAAGCGACGTATAGTGTTTCACAACCTAGTGTCATTCCCTGAGTTCTCAGGTACACATTCAAAGGCAGCATGTCCTGAAGCATGATTTTACTCCTTGACGGCACGATGCACCTGCTGAAAAACTGGGTGGACCTGCTCAGCTTTACAAGGAACGCTTACATTTCCTGCACTTTTTCAAGAATGAGAACAATGTCGTCTACATATTCCAGATCACGGACAGGTCTGAACATCGGGGTTCCGGAGACCTTCCAGTGTTCGCCTCTTATCTCCTCAATAACAGAAATTGAGGACGGATATCCTTGTCAAACACCACTTCTTCTAGGAAAGCTTATGAAGAGCTAAGCATGTACCCTCGCTCGCTCACAAGTATGTGTCATGGTTTTTGTGTGCTTATTTTTATACGTATCATATATACTCGTACTGAACCTGTGTATGCTCATGCACGCTTGTTCCTAGACAAGTAAAACGTTGCTTATCCTCGAAAACCTGGACTGTGTTCTAACTCGTTCTCAGACACATTCTAAACGTCTCAGCATGCGAATGTAAACTGCGCATGATATTCACGAACTTCTTGGGCATACCTTTTTGCTCAAGCCCGTTGAAAACGAACAACCGGTCACCAGGATGGAACGTATGAATGAAGATGTGGCCCGTGGCCCCTTCCTGTCCAAAGTACCGCTTGATCTTCTCGGGTCCCGTCTTCACGCATTTTCGTAAGACAGGACAAAGATTCTGGTTACAAAGGTGATCGAACTAATGCCTCCATGATTTTCACACTCACTACGAGCACTTTTTATTCGGCGCCACTATCGACTCACCCCATTTAGTTAAGACGATCTCTTGCTTCTAGATGTGAGTGCATCGGAGATACAGTCTGTTGGAGTATAAGCAGATACGGTGAACAGTCAGCGACTGTCGACGTGTTTATCATGTATCATCAAGGACACTGCCAGGCCGCATGGGTTTGTTTGAATGATTTTTAGCCTCCCAAACACTCCCTTTTTTACAGAGCAAGCTTTTCATGTTTTACTTTGATTTTGCGTACATCAACAAAAGTTTGATCGTCAGTCGGAATATTCCTGAGCATCATTTGCATTTGCGGTTAGTCCTTGGTTGACTTACAGTGCGATCACTTCATCTAAATGTTTTTGGAGCAACCACGTCGGATCCTACTAGCCCTTGCATTGATGCTGAGAAAGTTTGGGCGATTGCAGACTACCCTATCACAAAATCAGTTAAGGAGTGCATCGATCTTTGAGAACTGTCAGTCACCACTGTCATCATGCCCACTTCCGAACTTAGTCGTTAACAGTAGTCAGCTGCTACATTATTGATCGTCGCCAGCTGTATGAATGTTTTCATGCTTGTTGCGTGTAAAAAAAACTTGCGGACTACTAGAAGTCAATGTGTCGGGACCAGACTATAGAAACCAGGTTGAACATACCATTAGGTGTATTAGAGACTGACTTAATGGACTGAAAGAGCCCGTTTGGTTGTCCGTTCCTTGGTATGTTTTTGTGATTAGGTTAAAAATGCTACACAGGGCTCATATTCTGGTGATACATGCTCTAGTGGCCTCCCTACCCATTCACATAAGCATTTCAAGGTGCACTAAGGAGTCCCACGGCACCCCGACGAAACGCGCCGTCACTATCCATTTCGTGGCTTGATAACCTGTCAAAAATGAGAAGCCGTCAGCTCTAAGCAATTCAGGAGTGGCTGTGCCTTTGCAGCGAGACGACCTTGGCAGCAACTTTACATTCCTATTCCAAACTGTCCAGTGAGAGGAAAACTAAACGTCCAACTGCAGACCTAACGAAGGTATGATTTCCCGACTTCTGTCCCCAAGTGCCTCATCGTGGTTGGGTGCGGTTTTGGAACTGGTTAATGGCGTAACATCCCCGTAAAACGCGGCTAAGAGGTCTGATGATATGTGTACTCTGTTGGTGGACGAGACGGTTCAATTGGTTAGAGCGCGAATTTAATGACCTGAAAGTCAACTCGACCACTGTCTCTCGACTTCCCCTATCTAGGATTGAGCAACCTGGCAGTATCTAAACCCTCGTGCTTCCTTCTAGTGGCATTGCAGAGAGATACCGAAGGGGTGCTGCAGCTGAACGATGACTCTGTTGACAGTCGTGCTCAGTGTCTTATCTTGCCAAGCTTTATAGCAGGGCTGAATTTCTAACGTTTGTCCGCCTAAGGGAGCCGGTTATACTCTGATTCCAGATCAACAACGGGGCAACCACTGATCAACCCTGGGAGAACTGGCTGCACTTTGCAAGTGTGAAACGCATGGCAAACCGTGCGGCCCAACTGTTTGAAAACTCTGAAGGACCTGAAGCAATAAGAACGATATCGCCTACGTACTCAGTAAAACGCCCCAAGAGTATTTCGGTTCCCAAGGTTTCAGAGATAGGAAGAAGAGTTCCAAGTTGCACGTCAATAACAAAGTTGAATGGGAATGGACACAGAGAGCATTGCTGTCTTTCAACAATGGTGGTGGTGAACTACGGTGGAAGCCTGCAGTATACCAGTGGGGATCGACAGAAATTCACATACAGGGCCCTCAGAAGGAACAGTATTAAAAGGGACATATGACTGCAGAACGGTTTCTGACAATCAACCGAATCAAAGGCAGCTTCCAGATCAGGGAAAACGATAAACACTGAACATTCAAAAAGGCAGCGCTCCTCAAGAACAAGGCAAATATATGGTCGATTATCCTTCGAAGTTCGGCTTGGTTCTGTCCGAATAACCGAACAATCCGCGCAAATAGTGCTGGACAGCGTCTTTAATGTTACCACTACCAGATTGATGCCACGAGGTTCTCAAATGGCATGTTTTTGAACGGTGAGACCACGAGCAGGACGCTCCATCCCACCGGTATTCTTCAAATCTTCCAAAATGGAACCGATAAATTATCTACCAGGAATTCGTTACCTTCGTTTGAAAAGTGCGCAGCGTAGACCATCTGGGCTCGGTGTCCCGGGGAGTTTAGAGGTGATATTCCATACTGGAATCTTACTATTGGTGGCAGACTGATTCTCCCACAGGTTATGCTGAAGCAGACGAGCTGAACTGCTCTCTGAAGCGCTCAGCCCATCGTTTAAGACGGGGATGACTCTGTTGACAGTCGTGCTCAGTGTCTTATCTTGCCAAGCTTTATAGCAGGGCTGAATTTCTAACGTTTGTCCGCCTAAGGGAGCCGGTTATACTCTGATTCCAGATCAACAACGGGGCAACCACTGATCAACCCTGGGAGAACTGGCTGCACTTTGCAAGTGTGAAACGCATGGCAAACCGTGCGGCCCAACTGTTTGAAAACTCTGAAGGACCTGAAGCAATAAGAACGATATCGCCTACGTACTCAGTAAAACGCCCCAAGAGTATTTCGGTTCCCAAGGTTTCAGAGATAGGAAGAAGAGTTCCAAGTTGCACGTCAATAACAAAGTTGAATGGGAATGGACACAGAGAGCATTGCTGTCTTTCAACAATGGTGGTGGTGAACTACGGTGGAAGCCTGCAGTATACCAGTGGGGATCGACAGAAATTGACATACAGGGCCCTCAGAAGGAACAATATTAAAAGGGACATATGACTGCAGAACGGTTTCTGACAATCAACCGAATCAAAGGCAGCTTCCAGATCAGGGAAAACGATAAACACTGAACATTCAAAAAGGCAGCGCTCCTCAAGAACAAGGCAAATATATGGTCGATTATCCTTCGAAGTTCGGCTTGGTTCTGTCCGAATAACCGAACAATCCGCGCAAATAGTGCTGGACAGCGTCTTTAATGTTACCACTACCAGATTGATGCCACGAGGTTCTCAAATGGCATGTTTTTGAACGGTGAGACCACGAGCAGGACGCTCCATCCCACCGGTATTCTTCAAATCTTCCAAAATGGAACCGATAAATTATCTACCAGGAATTCGTTACCTTCGTTTGAAAAGTGCGCAGCGTAGACCATCTGGGCTCGGTGTCCCGGGGAGTTTAGAGGTGATATTCCATACTGGAATCTTACTATTGGTGGCAGACTGATTCTCCCACAGGTTATGCTGAAGCAGACGAGCTGAACTGCTCTCTGAAGCGCTCAGCCCATCGTTTAAGACGGGGACTTTGAGGATGAAAGACTTCCATCTTTCTCACAGGCTGCCTCGCTGAAACCCATCTCCTTCTGGCCGGTTGATCAAGTCAGCTGGGACAGTGCTAGGCTGTTGTTTGCAGCGACAGCCTTCGCCATTTCCTAGGCCTCTGCAATCGATCAGCGTCCCATGTTGTCCTTCATGCTCTTGTAAGAACACGACTACCCGGTGTTTTAGGGTTCTGCTTTTACTATCATAGCCGTTGGAGCACTAAGATATGCTTAGCTCAATACTATTGGTCGAATCAGACGACTTTGACAAAGTCCTAAAGGATAAGAGCATAGCTTCTGTCAATCGGTTCCACTGAATCTGCAGTCAGTCTTTCTCACCTGAATGAGCAGCAATCCAGCCAGGTCTGTTCGATACCGCTGAGATACCAAAAGAATCTGCTGAAGTTTGCAAAAGGAACCACTCTAATTCGGCATGAAAAGCGTGCTAAACTACTCAACGCAATGAGCTCGGGGCAGTCAACTTGCGCACCACCAGAAGGAACGAGGACTTTTAATTAAGGTTCCCTACCAGTACCTGATGGCTAAATGATTTAACTGAGCCTATGACAGGCTTCCGGTTGGTGGCCCCCAAGTAATTTGGTGAGGGCTCATGGTTAGGGTTCGTACTGGCAAGGAACAGACGATGTTCAGCAGATAAATGAACAGGTTCCCTTTTATCCCTACGCTAAACACCAACCCCGGTGCTACCACCTAAAAAAATAAATAAATAGACGTTCAGCTGTAACACTCTTCCGGTGCCTAGCTGCCATGCCACCCGGAGGAAACACGAGGGCTGGGATACTGCCATGTTGCCCAAGCCTAGACAGGGGGAGTTAAGTGCCAGATGTCGAGTGCGAACCACGGACCTTCCGGTCGGTAAATTCGCGCTCTAACCACTTGGGCCATCTCGCCCGCCTAACGGTGGTCCAGTCTGGGAGATCATGTCATCCGTCCTTCTTGCTGAACGAATCAGTGAGCAAATATCTCGGAGGAACCCACTCACATTCGATTCGGAACTGCGGTTTGTCGGTGCGTCATCATCAGTGCAGCAAAGCATTTGATGCTTTGCTAAAGTGCAACTATGATTTATTTGGAGGTCTTATTGCGGAGAAAAGTGGACGAGAAAGGCACTTAGTGCTGGTCTACCATAGTCATTCCGAGGTGTCTTCACCTCCAGACATTCAGGAAATCTAAAAGCATTTGATGCTTTGCTAAAGTGCAACTATGATTTATTTGGAGGTCTTATTGCGGAGAAAAGTGGACGAGAAAGGCACTTAGTGCTGGTCTACCATAGTCATTCCGAGGTGTCTTCACCTCCAGACATTCGGTCAGGAAATCTACGTAGAAACCAGCAACAAGAACGCCACTGGCACATGCTAGCGGCAATATGCCAATTGCAATATTGCAATGACTGTAATCACTTGGTCTGAACCTTCCAAGTTAGCGTTTTCGTCAAAAGAATCACCAAAAGTGCAAAACGTGCAGTGGCAAGTAAAACCAGCTCAAAAACACGTGTACAGCGCTTCGAATACACAGTGTATGCGGTGAGGAAATTCAGACGCTCTCCGGGTGCGGCACTGCCAACCGCCTTTAGGCTGTCACTAGAGTACGATTGGCTGTTAGGTCCAAACTCTCGGCCAATCAATGCCCGATTGACGCTTGACCGGTAACCAACCCGTTCTTCAGGCTAATCGCGTGCTTGATAGGTTCCTTGAGCGTAGCAGCGTCCCACTGCTAGCGATAAAGCGATAGATGTTTGGGACTCTGCCCAATGGACAGTAATTATCAGCCATGTCTTACAGCGCCTCCAAAAAGTGGGTTCAGGCAGCCCGCATCCTGGAAGTTGTTTCGCACCGACAAAGGCCAGGTTTTCCGCACTCCCTCTTATTCCCTTCTGCCAACCCGAAAGTTAGATACCTCTCTGTTACCCTCTTCGGAGGATAGAATTTCGCCTTGCATGATACATGACTTAAACGTCGCAGCTTCTGGCGCTGGACACATTTATCGACGAAAGATACCGCTGAAAAACCGGACACTCGCTTTCCAATACTCCCGTCACCGATTAGCTACCACCAAAGCACATGAGTCACGGTTTCGAAACCATCGTTTTCAAGTACCAAAGACGTCCCAATCCTGCTGCCCAAAGCGGCCAGATTTCGTAGCGACACAAGAATACAGCCCGTATTCTGGCCAGTTGCACGAGTGGCTTGGGGTTCATTATTATGCCAATTTGCCGCCATGGTTGTCTCAAGTTAGCGCCAGGGATCCATCCGAAACTAGACATACCAACGTACCGGTTTTTCTATGGCAGAATTCGATCTTTTTAGGCGTATCTGCCTTGCTGTACTGCGCCATGGCTCTGGAGGTCGTCTCCGGTAAGGCTGCGAAGAAGGCTTCCAAGGTGAAGGTTCCGAAGTTAGACAAGAAGAAGCGAGGAGGAAGAAGAGCTATGCGATCTGCATCTACAAGGTGCTGCGTCAAGTCCACGTTGCCTCTCCTTCAGCGTCTAAGAAAGCCATGAGTGGTCGCGGCAAAGGCGGTACAACTCGGGTCGATGCGAAGACCAGTTCGTCACGCCAGGGACTCGTCGATCGTGTACATCGTCTGCTGCTCAAAGGCAACTATGCTGAGTGCGTTGGTGCTGGTGACTCCGTGTACTTGGTCGCAGTCCTGGACTGCCTCGCTGCTGAGGTCCTGGATTTTGCTAGCAATGCTGCCCATGACAACAGGGAGACCCGCATCATCCCCCGTCACTTGCAACTGGCCATCCGCAACGACGGGGAGCTCCACCAGCCCTTGGGTGGTGTGACGATTGCTCAGGGTGGTGTGTTGCGGAACATCCAGTCGGTGCTTCTGCCAAAGAAGCATGATAAGGTGAAGGCCCAAGCTTCGCCATACGAGTGCTCGAAGGTAAAGACCTGAGGTGTATCTGGTAACAGAGACATCGCCAGAAATCAAGTACACCTTTTCACAAAGAGAAAGCAACGGCGCCAAGACCTTAATGTTTTTCGAAACAGACTATCTGCACAAATGTTCAGCTTGAACTATTTTTGAAACCGTTCTGTGGGTTAGCTCCAAGGTTAATTGAGACGTCAGTTGGGCAGTTTTATGGAAAACTCCAACTGCCTATTGTACCCATTTGCTTCCAAAAGCCTGTTTTCTCGCAAAGATTTAGTCATCTTGAAATTTGGACGTGGATAACCGAGAAAAACAGCCAATATAAGATCCACGCGATGGCATCAGCTACTGTGTTTTAAAGTGGGTGTGAACCACAGTCACTTAAACGGACAAATATGACATGTAGGTCCGCAACAACTGATGTTTCTGGAGGTGGTTTGACTGGCCGATTTTGTGCCTATAATTGGTCATCTCAAGGATAGTGGAAGTATTCTAGGTGTTCCCTGTGAAACGCTCGCTAAGTTGATAAAACCTCACTACACTTGCTATAATGCACTAGTGCCGCTCCTTCCTGTGACCCTAACATGGATTTCGCGGTTTTCAGTCACATGTATTAGTGAAGGGAGCAAGGTGGGTAAAGTAATTAAGTCCAGCACCTATATAGATATAACCAAACAAGCTAGATACCCAGAAGTCAATACAGCGTAACAATAACCACGCATGTATTCGAATTTTACGTATGGTACAGCATTTGGAATATTCGAAGAAGAGAATAATGAATAGAAAAATGAATACAGTTCCAATCATGTTCATCACATTTGCTACACCTTGAATGAGCGTGTGGATGCTTATAGTTCCGTTGTGGTCTCCATCGAAATCGTTCGGATCCTCTCGGATTGGAAGGTCTTTACAGTTGATATATTCTTCGGATATAGCATTTTGTTCGGATACCGTATCAAACGGTTCATTAGTATTTGGTGGCTGACCTCTGGTGTTGAACTCAGCCTTATGAATATGTCTCCGAAAACAAGGGAAATCATCCAGGTCGAGGACCGTGAACATCCCTTTGCCATTTGATGAAAGTATTGGTCCCGTAGCAGACGGTAAATCATTACTCTCGAAAACCGCAAAATCAACCGATTTGACATAGTCAAGAAGTGTACGCAACGAGCGAGATTTAGGTGGAGGCGCGGGGCTCTTCTCCGTAACGTAATGTTAGGCTTTCCTGTATTACATTAGAAACCTATCCATTCCACAGTCCGATTCCACAAAATAAGTGGGAGAGAATGAGGTAATGGCAAATTTCAGTGTCGGGACGAAATTTAGCCGCGGATGGCGAGGGACGGTAAACTTATGTTGACATTCCATGTTCACCTTAGAACAGCCCCCTTCGCTCGCACCACTTACTAGTGCTCGATGGTCTGCGCGGTGTTTTCAAGTAACTAAGAATAAAGCTAAGAATAGCCGAACTTAGAACAACCGACTCAACTGCATTATCAGCTCTGCGTCAATGGGAATAACGGCTGATGCTCGGTCGTCAGCTAGCCGCGAATCTACAGGCCGCTTCAATCAGTAAAACGAAACTCTATAAAAATTTTCACTGCAAGAAGTTATAGAATACGCTACTTGGATGCTTTGAGAAAATTGCTGAGCTTCCCTGTCGCCGGCTGATTTCGGTCTTTATATAACCTAACAACGCAACACATCAACATAATAGCAGACGCCGATTGAATGAGGGGTGCAATGATATTTAGACTGGGGTGTGCTGTGCTCTATTTCCAAATGATGGCTAATGCCTGGCTGCGGCCTAGCTTTTGGGTTGTCTGTTGAAACCTGAATCCTGACGTTATGTATGCTAGTTGCGGCAACTTTCGGCTTTGGTAGGCTGGATCTGCTTATGATACACCCATTGCCAGGAGTTCGAAAACAAATCGTTGGCCACACTAAAAAGTTCAGAAGTTTACGGATTTACCTAAATGTTTAGTTAGAAAATTCATAAGAAATTCTCTCTCTTTAAAGATTATTATTTGTCGAGTTAACTTGCTTCTGATGTGCTGCTTGGATTTTAGACGACTCAGACTATCCTCAAGGTCTGTCCAAGAATCACATCTACTTATCGACTAAACGCAGTGTGCTACCAATAATATCTAGAACTTTTTAACGATTTTCCCACTTGTTTCTTTAAACTATCTCTGCTATATCGACAACCGGAGATACCCGCAGTCAAACCTGTTTTTGATTTCATACATCATTCAGCCTTACATCACATAGGCGTACTTGTGAGGCCGCTTTGAGCCTACATTAAATCCTCAAACTATGCGTGGGCGGAAGAATAAAACCTCAAGCACGGAGACGCTTTGATTGTGTTCTTGAGGTCTTCTTTCAGCTTTTATTGCAGCTTGCAGTAAAACTGTTAGTCATATAACCAGAATACGTATTTTTAGACGAAGAAAATAGATGTAAAACGCTGACAATTTTCATCGGATGTGGACTCGTTGAGACGCTTTAGTTTTTGAGGATCTAGGTCTATATCAAAAGTGAACCAGCAAAAAGCGTCTGCAGTTAGTTTTCACCTTTCAAGGTTTTCACAAATCTAGCAAATGCAACACCAATAGAGCACAAGCCTAAAATAGTGAGGATCTGCAGTAAATTGCAGACTATGTTTGGGTCAGTGTTCTCACTCCAAATAGGGTGCCTCTGAAGAAGACTATGGCTCACAACAAAGTAGCAATCGTCAAATTAGATGAATGCTTTTAATTCACGTTCGGTGATGTGAATCTGACGAAATATTCATGGAGCAAGCCGAAACCATATATATCTAATAGCTTTTAAACGAAGAGATCCTGTGGTACTTGCGGGAACAAACATCTTATGGAATAACAGTCTCACTTGTGAATGTACGAATAGCTCAGTGCATGATTTGACGCAGCTGCATTAAAATCCATCCGAGTAGAACTTGGGTAGTTTCCTAACAAATGATAATTTTTAAGCTCTTGGCCAAAAAATCAACGCTGTCGTTCAGGTGAAATGTGATGCAAGAAAATCCGATAAAGTTTACTCGGCAAACTATCTGAGCAAACAAGGTGTCCAATATTCGTTCCTCTCCATGGTCTCTCTGTTAGTACTCCACCCGGCTAAAATTTGGTTGACAGTTTAGTGGTTTGGACAACAAGGACCATGTACTGCGGCGCATGTGGTTATCCTAATCTTATTGTCATGTTTGCCCAAACGTCTTGTACTCAGGCAAAACAGTAAAATCTAAGACAGCGCACTCGGTTCCTGTATGGTTTTCTCCAGATATCGCCGACAGGACGGCCAATAATTATTATGGGATTCACACACCAGGCTCCTCGGAGGCATGGATGTGAATTACATCTCAGCCCCTTGAACTCGCATGAATACGAAGATTGGTGGAACAGTGGACTCCGTGAATCCCCCCATTAGACCGTTTTCTTTTTTGCCCAGTGTGCAGCAGACAGAGGTCCCCTCTATTCCGCTTCCTCTCAGAACAAGTAGCATCGAGCTATTGAGCGTAGTCCACGAGCATTTTGCCACTGAATCCATGTAACCTAGAGCCAAAACCTGAATGTCTATTGAAATTGCTCTGGCTTTGAGCCCTCTATGAGCATTCACCGTTGTCGTCACTGCTCACTGTATCAAAAAACAGACTTGCTGCCATATCCTTGTTCAAAAGCGTGGCGAATGTAGAGGTTGAATATTGAAGAGTGCTTGCTACTACAAACAAATATCAGCCTAGCCTTCTGGCAGCGGCTAAGGCATAAATTTGCGGGAAGGTTTCAAGAAAGAGCGGGGAATATAATGTATCCAGCTATTTATATTTGGCAGCCTTGACAGAATAAGTCGTAAGGTTGAATTTTAACCAACAAACAAAATCTGCATGATTATTTTTACTATGTTACACTCATAAGGGGGCATCTACCAGCCTTTATACCCTAGGTTGTCGTTAGTGATTACAAACAAGGGCTTGAACGACAACGTCGAAAAATGTTTCGAAACCGGCTTCGTTGGACATAGAAATGGCTGCATTTCAAAGTAAGCCCCGAGATGCCGAGCACCAAAGTCAGAGGACTTTAATAAAATGCTGAGGACTGAAGCGTTTGTTAAATAGTTACAGTTAAGCTTCACTAGAAATTCTCCCCATTAGTACCGCCTTACAAGGAAGCCAGCAACTCAACCCCCAACAACAGCAGTTTGACATAGTGCCTGCGATCGCGTTAGAGGTCGTGGAGCAAATATTATGGCAATCGTGAGATTTAAGTTAAGGTGCTCACTGCTTCCATCCAAAGCATTAATTGGAAAGGAAGTATTTAGGGATCAGGTTCCTGATTGCAACCTATGACCTCAGAGCGACAGCGGTGGCAGGCACGCTTACTTCTATGAGTGGGTTGTACGCTGATTTTTATACAATATTTTTAGTGGTCGTTGACCGTTGACTTTGTACAGTCTTGTGCCATTTGGCACATTACAGTCAGAACCAAAATACTTATCCAGCTAACTTGCGAATTTTTGGAGAGTCAACAAGCAGAGAGAGTCAACTGCAGTGCAACGCTGGTCTCTTTACGGTACCATCGACATCGTAGTATACCTTTACATGACATCAAATACTTACATAGTATGGCACGCGCCGTTGATACAACTTAGGGCATCTCAGCCCGGAAATAATGGCGGTTTGTTGTTGTGACTTCATCTCCGTACGTTTCACAGATGATAGCTCTTGAAACAATACGACTGGATGCGGAGTGATCCGCACGTTAATTTGTCAAATAGTAGCAAGCTTCAGACGTTCTAGCTGGCATTGATTTTCGTGCCTTTCCTATCCACTCAACTGTGCTCATTATAGACGAGGAAAAGGTCAGCATATATAACTTCGGTAGAATATGTCTCATTGGATGCCATATGGGTCTGCGCTGAAGGTTTAAATCCGATATACATTAGTAAGTTTCAACATTCGAGCGATGTCAGTTACTTGAAAACCTGAATGCTTCCTTGAATCCGAAGGATAA